AGTAGGCTAGGTTTATTTAACATGTAGTAAGAAATATGACAGAAATTGAATAAAGTGTATAAATAAAACACTGCATAGTCTTCACTGTATCAATCAAAAATGATTAACATTAATAATGACAGACAGCAGCAGAGAAATGGAATAAAGTGTATATAAATAAAACACTCCATAGTCTTCACTGTATCAATCAAACATGATTAACATTAAAAATTACAGACAGCAGCAGGTAAATAAGGCTGCTGTCCCTTTAAGACCAATCCAATATACTGAAACACATCCGGTTTTCACCCAACTGTTTTACATTTATTTAACACATAACCGACTGTGTTTACTTGAATACTCCACACGACGGGCATTATGACATAACTGTGTGCGTATTTGACCATTCAAGCTCAACAAAACACGAAAGAGATCTGTTTTCGTGATCGCATGCTGTCGAGAGATGGGCTTTCAGTGTGCGCGCTTTGGCTGTGTGTCAGTCAGCGCGAGCACCGCATTGAGTTCCTTTTCACTGCTTATTGCACTTAATAACTCTACCAAGTGCCTCTTTATTTTCTTATTCATGCATGTTTCCTTATCACTCAAAAGGTGTATAACGTTTAAGCAGTACTATGTTACGCGGATATATTTGCATACCGCGGAATACACGATATAGCAAACTCTCTAACGATAGACACTTTATTTCGCGGTAACGATATATACCGTCATACCACGGTATGCCCAACAACAAAGTATGTTAAGCATGTGCAGAAGCACATGCGAGCAAGTGTATTGAGGGCTCTCCTCTAGAATGTCATCTCCAACAAGTAGCACTGGGATATCTGATTAATTTAATTTAATTTTTTTATTGAATTAAAATGAAGTTGTTCATTTGGCTGTTTCAATTATAAATAAATGAATGAATAAATAAATAAATAGTAGACTTCTAAATGCTACTTGAAAGAGAGGACACAGGTGAGAGTGTGCTCAATACACTCTCTGCCACTCTCTGCAGGTTCGTAAAGGTGCATGCACTCAATCAGTATCTGTGCACTCACATGGCCTTCAACCAAATGGAAAGCAGTATGCTCATTTTATCAAATAAATAAATAAATAAATACAGTACATCTGATTACAACACTGCCCAGGTCAGTAATATGGGTGTGTGTGATTTCATTTTTGAGTTAACTATCCTTTTAACTGATCCCACCTTTGGTATTTTCAATAGCAATAGCAATATAGCAATAGCAATAAGGAGGACAAGTGGGAAAAAAAATCTAGATAATCAGTGAAACAGAGATGCCACGGCAAACAGGGGTGGGGGAAAACAATAGTGTGGCCTAGAAAGTTAATTAATTAATTAATAAAGAGTTATTAATTATTAACACATTAAAGAGTTTGTTATAATCGCACAAATTAACACTTTTTTTTCCCCAAACCCTAGAGATTATGGTTTATATAAAATAGTGCCTATGAAAAACAGTGAGACTAGGCTGAACATGTACTGTATATGTAACATTTGTCTTTCAACAAAACTAGTGCAATGAACATGCTGATATGTTTGCCTGAGAGCAGGGGTCTGTTCACACTCTAACTTGACACAATTTGCTCAACATCAGCATAATCAAATGCAGTCAAACATCAGAGGCACACAGGCTGGGTAAATACCTGTCATCATACCTGAGCACTCTAGATAACATTTACAGATGTAAACACAAACTAGCATAACACAGGAAAGGGAACACAGAATAGAAACTCATTCTAGCACAGAATAAGAAAGTTCAGTAATAATAATAATAATAATAATAATAATTAATTTAGTTATTTATTTTTACTGTTTCTAACATTTCTAGTTCATCATCCTAAGGTTTCTGAAATCCAGATTTTAGTTGCTCATGTGAAGTGTTCATTGTCACAGTCTTTCTGAACATGTCTTTGTTTCCTGGCAGACTGCTTGGAACTGCCACACACTAGGCTCCTGGAAATATAGCAGAAGTCAGCCAATTAGATTTAGGCTTCTGTCTTTGTTAAAGTATTTTCAGTTTTGTGTGCCATATGCATCACATGTTTAGTAAACTGAGTGTGGGTGGCCTGTAGGGTTGGGAATCGAAAATCGATTCCGATTCCAGAATCGGATACTTAAGGTCAGGAATCGGATACTTGTTGTCCAATTAAAATTTCGATTCCGCCTATCGATTCCTATGTGCTTTTTTTTCTTCATCTGTGAGGACTGGACCTAGCGATCTGCCAGGACCTTGCTTGATAATCTAAGCACTCCAAAGTTTGGCTACATTTGCGATCAGAAGCCAAAAGCGCTAAGTATAATATCTGTGATAGCTAAACATGTTGCAAGAGAGGTGTTACCACCAACATGACAAAGCACTTTAATTTAATAGATCGTTAAAGATCGCGAACGCGATTCAAACACCAATGTGATCCTATTCCTAAATTACAATGATTCGTCTGTTTCATTCCTCAACCTATCACGTGTGCAATCAATGTTGTGATCACTTGGTTCATCCGTGCAGCGTACGATCACACTAATAGATCGTTAAAGATCGCGAACGCGATTCAAACACCAATGTGATCCTATTCCTAAATTACAATGATTCGTCTGTTTCATTCCTCAACCTATCACGTGTGCAATCAATGTTGTGATCACTTGGTTCATCCGTGCAGCGTACGGTCACACCAGTGTGATTTGAACATTTAAATTTGCTGACCTAAAGAGAGCAGCCGTCTGTCATGAATGAAACCGCTTCACAGTCTTTTCAGCCACACAGTATCATTATTTCTGTCTTGCAAACATTAAAATCACAGAAGTACTGGGATAAAAGTTTATAGTTCATATATAAACTCTGATGTGTATGGTAGTGATTAAAATAGAGTAAATCACCTTTTGAAAGTAATTTGACACTTCAAATGAAGATTTGTCGAGTTCATCCGTGCAGCGTACGATCACACCAGTCAGTGTGATTTGAGCATTTAAATCGGCGTTCGCGCTGCCGCTGACCTAAAGAGAGCAGCTGTCATCTGTCATAAACGAAACAGCTTCACAGTCTTTTCAGCAACACAGTATCTTTATTTCTGTGTTACAAACATTCAAATCACAGAAGTACTGAGATAAAAGTTTATAGTTCGGATATAAACTCTGATGTGTACGGTAGCGATTAAATTAGAGTAAATCACCTTTTGAAAGTAATTTGACACTTCAAATGAAGATTTATCGATTTATCGATTGTTAAGCCAGTAGGTGGTGAAAAGGGGCTGTTAAAATGTATTTAATCACATTGGAATCGAAACTGGGAATCGAAAAGAATCGGAATCGGAATTGATCAAATTAAAACGATACCCAACCCTAGTGGCCTGTGGATGTGACATCTGAGACTAGGTTATATTTATTTATTTTATTGTTTATTCGACAGTGACAATACAGAATGACATTATACATCACACATCAGCTGAAAGAGCACTTAGCTAGTCAAGTGGATTTACTTATTGCAGAGTTAACAAAAGTTATCATGTGCGTTGTAATGTTCAAAGCCGATGTCATAACAAACGTCAGTAGAAGATTGGAAGATCAGGTCAGGAAGATTTTTAAAATGAGCGGTTCATGAATAAATTTGTACGCCA